ACCCGACCCGACTCCTAGCCAATGCTGCGATCCACGGGTAAACGAACCCGCCCCAGTCATGGGGAACCAAATTGAAGTCTGCAAAATGGGGCTTCCCCTTTAAAGTTAGGGATTTCAAACCCGGAAACCTCTGGATCAGCCTTTCCGGGTTGATAGCATAGCAGTTTCCTATGAAAACCTTTTGCCGGCTATATCTCTCGATCTTGTACCATGATTTGCAGACAAGAGATACCGAGTTCCGGTCTCTGTGCGCTGTGATGAAATCGAACACGTGCTCTAATACTTCGTCCGGGAAATAATTCATCTCGTTTATTCAAAGGTCGAACGAGAATTTTCGTTTTCCCGGAAAAATTACAGAACTTTCCCGGAAAATGGAAAGTAGAAAGATACGACTGTTTTTTTTTAAACTAAATCAAACAATTGAAACTAAACCCATAAGCGAAATGAGGAAGTAGAACAAACCCAGATCTCGAGCTTTAAAAAAAAAAATGAAAGTTCGAGGAGATCTTCTCGAAATCAACAGATCTGAGGAGTAGTTAGCAAGAAATTAAAAATCTAAGACTCACATGGTTTTCTCTTCAGAATATTAGATCTACAGACAAAGAAGCAACAGAGAACAAGCAAGGAAGAAAATGAAAAACTCGAGATTTTCCAAAGAAAAAGGAAGGGAAGAGTTTTCTTTTCCTCATGATCATCTTCAAATCAAATAATGATGATTAGAAAACACAAAAGAAAACCCTCCTTCCCCCAAAAAGAAAATCAAAATTCATAGATCTGAGAATCTGAAATTTCCCATAAATAGAAACTCCTCAACGAAAAATCGAAATCTAATGATAGTAATAATACGAAGGATAGAAGAAAATCAAACCAAACAGAGAAAGAAATCAACGGAGACACACGCACAGAGACAGAAGACTCCCAACACAAATCGGGTTAAGAGAGTTTGAGCTCAGCTCGCTCAGGCAGCAGCTAGCTAAACTAACTACATTAACCATGGTTAAGTGTTTTATTTAACCGCGGTTAGTTTCTTTGGTTTTTGCTATTTTCCCTTCCATTTGAATCCGACGGTCAGAAATGCCGTGATGAGAAAGAGTTGAGGGAATCTTGACCGTTGAGTGGCGTAGCATGCATGTGTCGTTATCTCTGGTTTCCAAGAGACCTGTCTCTCTCTTTCTCTCTCTGTGCAAAAGTCTATTTGCTAAAGAGAGTTGTCAGATAAACGCCACTGTTTTTCCACGAAATTACAGAAAATGCCATCGGGAAGATACGGCCTTTTGAGTTGGTACTCGAGCGAGTACATACACTCGCGGCGTCTTGCTGAGACACAGCCATGTGGATGTAGGTTGCGTGGGGAGGGAAGGGTGAAATGGAGCGAGTAGAAGAGTTTGGTAGTGGCGGAGGTGGGGGAGGGTGAAGAAATTAAAATGACTGTAGAAATT